ATGTCTGACCCGACCTGACCTTATCAGGTCGGGTCAAGTCAATTACCCGACCCGACCCGACCTGTTCGGAGCTCTAATAAATCTATATTTAAAAAATTAAATAATGAAAATTTATAGTTGATCTATGAATTTTGAAATTAATTATAATATACATGTATAATTATTTTATTATATAATTTAAATTATTTAAAAGATATATATAATTTTATTTTTATATTTTTTATTATTTTTTATTTAGTTTATAATATGTTTAAGGGTTATAAATTCTCTAACTATAATCTATATTTATTATATATAATAAAATTTATATTAGATTAATATATTTTAAATAATATATTTAGTTAAAAATTAATAATAATTTAAATAAATATTTTATAAATTAACTAAATATTTTACAATTTAATAGAATTGTATTTAAATTTTTTTAAAAAACAATTAATAATTTTTACTAAATTTAATTATGTAAATTAATGGGTTTTTATATAAGTAATATTTAATTATAAAAAATCAAATTTAATTATTTTAATTTATATATAATGTTATATATAAATATTATTTTAATGATTTTTTCTAAACATAAAACATTTGAAAGTCTATATCTTTTGATCAGAATTAATAAGTAATGTGACTAGTATTAATAAACAAAAATCATAAATATAAAAAAATCTTGTTTATATTTCTGTCTCATAATAATACTATTTATATACAGTCAACTCTCTATAAATGCATTCCCTTAGGATCAGATAAAAATGTGCATTTAGAGAGGATATGCATTTATAGATATATATAAATTTATATTTCATTAATATAAAATTAATGTAATACAAAAAATTTTATAAGTAACTATTATAAAATTTTTTTGTCAAAGTATGTATTTATAGAGTGAAATATATGTAAAATATGCATTTAGTATATAAGTTCCAATTTTAGACCAAGCAAAAGAATGTATTTATAAAGGATGTGCATTTATAGAGGATGCATTTATAGAGAGTTGACTATATATGTAAAATATTTTATATTATATATAGATTATTAAAAATTATTAATAAATATAAATATAATTAAAAATAAACTTTTTTTTAAAAAAAATCTTTTATTTTAATCAAATTTTTTTAACTTACAAATAATATTTATATATAAATAGTTAAAATAATTAAATTTTTTTTTTTTTTAAATATAAAAAAAAAAAAAAAATTCAAAAAAAAAAAAACTACAAATAAATAAAAATATTATTCACAGATATTATTTATCATTTAATTTCACGAGAATAATGAATATATATTGATGATTGGGAAAAGTTATAAAACAAATGAAAAAGAGGTGAAAAAAAAAAACAAATAAAAAAAATTTTATAGAAAGGTAGAAAGAATTGTCTATAATACAAGTAAAAAAATTTTTTTTTCCTTTTTTTTTTTTTTTTTTTTTTTTTTCTTTTTTTTTCTTTTCTTTTTACTTTTTAAAAAAAAATAGAAGGAAATTAAAAACAAGAGGAAGTAATGAAGAAAAAAGTTACAAGAAAAAAGTCCTGCTTCCAAATAAAAAATATTAAATTTTGCGATATATATTACAAAGGGAAAAAAAAAACTTCCTCTGTTATTCCCTTCGTTTTGACCATTAAAAACCCGACAAATGTATATATAAATTATATATTTTAAAAAATATATAGAAATAAAATGGAAAAAAATATCCCTGCTACCTTGTATTCCAAGCTTTTGTACAAATATATTTAAAAACTTTTAAATTTTGGTAAATAAAAAATACGCAAAGGGAGAAAGAAATCTCAACCTTATGCGGAAAAAAAAATTGTTCCTTTACAATAAAAATTTTTTTGCATGCAAACGTAAATTAGTGTTGTGTATTATATATCAAACATGAGTTAGTTTGTTCGAACCGTAAATAGACACCTGCGTCCATCTTGGTCCAAATAATAATTATAGATTAACTTTGTAGTACGTCCACTTCGACTTTTTTTTTTTCTTCTTTCCATCAGAATCTTGAAAGTGAACGTTACCATTCGGAAGTTTAGGAGTTACACTTTGATTATTATTCTTCAGAACTGGTCGTGGATTTTTTCCATTAACAGTTGTTGCACTTTTCCAGAAACCATTCGAGTCATTTTGATTCTTAATATTTTGCCTTATATCTGGAAACGTAAGACTCCTTGTTCTGGATGATTTATCTTCACAAACAGCCGAATAGCTTTGCCTGCGATAGCCACTAGAGGGCCTATTAGGATAGTAAGAATAATTGTCTTCGAGCTTCGTTGCAAAAGACACGTGATGATTCTGTTGGTGATTCGCCGACTTATTTACAGCTGCGTTGTTTAAAGCATCCTCGATTCCCGTTCCATCTGGATTAGAAGGAGTTTGCGTTTCCTTATCTAAGCTATTTGGGTCTCTTGGAATTCTCATGTCACTTGAGACCTTTTGGTCAATAGAATCGAAAAAAGTTTCAGTTGTTGCGGATGGCGAGGTCACCGTCGTTTCATTATTGATTTCTGAAGTCCCATTCCTTAGCTCAACTTTCTCTCGTGAATTTGAACGTCGATGACCACTTGTTGGAGTTGTAGAGGTTGAACGTGGAGGATAATTCTCTTCCTCTTGTTGGTTTTGTCGATTATTATTATTCTGGGATTTTTGTACATGAATAGATGTGCCATTTCTATTATATCCCGAGTTTTGCTGCGAATGGTTTTGTGGTGGTCCATTCATATAATTTCGACGTTCATAACAGCCATTTTTGCCACCATAATTGTAGTCTTTAGCTTTTCCACCGTTAGTGAAGGTACTTGACCTTTCTCTTTTTCCACTAGACCAATTATTAACATTAGGTTGAAAAAAATACGTCCCATTTGGTGAATTATTCTGTATACCAGGGCTAACAGGCGGATTATGTCCACTAGTGAATGTATATGATCGTTCACGTTCTTTGTATGGCTTGCTACCTTGACGGGATGGTACAATAGGTGAAGTAGATATTGGGGGATATCGATTATCTTGCTTTTGCACATTACTGAATTGACTAAACGTGCTGGCACGTTCACGACCTCGGAAATTGTCACGACTTGAAAATCTAGCATCTTGAGGAGAGTATTTACCATCTTTAAGAGAGAAACGGGCGTCTTGAGGGGAAAATCTAACATTTTGAGACGAGTTACCATTCGTCGTATTACTAATTTCTTCTCGAGGCGGACTAGTTGAATTATGCGTATTATCCTTAAACGAATAACACCGAGGAGGGGAGGTGGAGTTGTTATTAAGAGTTCCTTTTCTACCTTGAGTTGTTACTGTTGGTAGTGTTTCTTGCATATGTGCCATGGTCCTCTTGATTGTCGATGACGGTTGAGTGACAATGTTATAATGAGCTTGATCGCGAAGATTAGGAACACTTCGCTTAAGGAACTTTGTTGCAAGGGAGTTCGTGTTCCGAATGTTAGGTATGCTTCGCCTTGGTCCTAATGGTATGTTTTCATCGACGCCCGGATAATGTTGCATATGCTCAAATTTATTATTAGGAGATGTCACCCCACGAGGAGAATTCGTTGACGAATTAGGTCTTGGTGGAATGGATATGGATAACGGAGAAGGAGTCGATGGTCGCCTACTTTGCAATTCTCGCCATTCACGAGTTTGTTTTGTGTTTAGTGATCGAGTACGAATTACGTCTTGGTTATAAAGTTCATCATTATAACGAGGATGGCAATTATTTCTTGTTGGATAACTATCTTCCAACCAAGGAACCTTTACATTTCCATCACCCCACGCAGAGACCACTGCCTTTAATGCACTGTCGTCATTATGATTAATCCATTCATCAGAATGGAAGCCACCATCAAAATCACGAAATGCGTTATCGTCACTCCAAAAGCTCGACTCATTTGCTGGAGTCAAAGGAGCTGGGGACATTGGACGAGCCGATGAATAATCTTCGAATTCAAGAGATACTAGTTCAGAATCGTATCCGTTTCGGCATGTTGCACTGAAATTTAGTTGAATTGAAATGTTAGACATTAATTTAAAAAAAAACATGATATATTTGACATGTTATAATTAAATACATACGCAAGTAAATTACGCGCATATGCGTAATCCGGTTTCTGATCAAAGTCCAGACTTCGTGCATATTGAAGAAATTTCATAAATCCTGACGGTACTCCTTCAAATAATTCTTCCAAAGGTTTGCTCTCTTTCATCTTTAACATCTTGGACCAGCCTTCTACCGCGTTGCGGGCTGTTACACCTGCCCAAGGAAGTGTGCCTTGAAGCAACTCCAAAATAACATATCCAAGTGATTCCAAGTCGTCACGACGCGCATGTGCTAATTGATAACAAAAATAAGAATGAATATGATGCACATAGATTGATTGAATTAACAATGAAATCATTTCAAATTCTCAAAACTTACGAAGCCCACGATGAACACCCATTGCGGCATAACGAGCAGTTCCCGTCTTATATTTTGTCGGGGGATGCTTCTTTGGAACGTGCCTCCCTGTCCTTTGGTCGATATAGAACGTGGATAAACCTTTTAAAAAAAAATAATAATAAAAATAAAAATATTTATGACATTAGAAAAAATTAACTATTTTAAATTGCATTACTAGAGACCATACATACCGAAATCAACAAGGCTGATCTTGTGTGGACTATAAAGAAGGGGATGTTTGTCCTCAATTAGCTTGGGCGAGTCCTTTTCAGAATTCCATTTCTCGAGTTCCTTTATTGAAATTGCGAAATCCCGTTCGAGAAGGAAATTATCAGGTTTTACATCTCGATATACTATTCCTCGACTATGTACGTGTTCTAAGATATCCACCTAATATCAGGAAATAACCAATGACGATTTAATAAACACTTGATGTCACACTTAAATCTATAATTTAAATAATTAACTTACCATTTGTATAGATATTTTACTAACAAAAGGGATTGGTAGTTTACCATATGCTTGGCGTACTAATCTGATGTTGGGACCAAGCAAATCCATGACTAACGCATTATATAATTGCTCCTGCCCAAACCAATATACTTTCGGTATATAACCTTTAAATATTTAATTAGATTAGTAATGAGAATAAGCAATTTTTTTTCCTTTTTTTTTAAAAAAAAAAAAAAACTTACTTGGACCTGCTAATCTTCTTAAAAATTCGGCTTCCTGTGGCAATTGTGGATGATCTTCGTCTACAAGTTCTCGTTTAATAGCATATTGTTCATTTGTTTTTATGTGAACGGCTAAAGACGTAGAAAAAAGAAATGTAATTGCATTGTTATCAAAAAAATTGAATTAAAAAAAGATTCGTTAATGTGTCACGTGAAAACGAAACCATATATTCGCTCAACGAAAAAAAAGTTTCTCGGGATATTTCAAAGTTGCTTTTTTTTTTGAGCAAACTTTAGTATATAATAATAAAAAAAAAAGGTACTTTACCTCGAAAGACCTCGCCGAAAGATCCCTCGCCGATTTTTTCTTCGACTAACCAATGTCCACCAACGGTTACTTTACCCATAGTTAATGTAACGATTGCGAGAATAGGGCAAACCGCAAAGAAGGCGGATATTGGTCTTTCAAATGAAAATCTTTGAGAGCTCGAGTGGGTCTATCGAGCTTTCAGTCAAAGGGATGACAAAAGAAAATAATGAATGAAATTCAAGACTAAGAAAAGGTTGGGTTTTTCTTTGTAATGAGAAAGACTTTAGTTTTTGAAGAACTACAACGTTGTAAGTAAAAGTGTGTGGAGTGAAGAAGCAACTCAAGCACACAGAGAACTTGTGCTCTTGTGTTTTTGAGAATCAGCTTAAAAACCGAAGAAAATTAAGAAAACACAACACACAGCGTTAATAAAAGTTTAAGTTGATTTTTTTTTTAAGAAAAATATGGAACTTTGTGAACGCTTTGTATGGGAAAAAATTATAAAAAGATGGACAGGGCTGAAGTTAACTATCGAATGGATGCGGGCAGGGGGTGATGGCATTCGGTACCAAACCAAAAGAGGTAAGCAGGAAGTACAACAATAGTTTTTGCGCTGGGGATCAGAACCATTTTGTTATGTTATTTAAAATAATAAAAGACGTATGACTTAATAACACCAATCTTTTAGCTGTCACGCGTTTCCAATTTTGTTATAATGGTTTAAATTTTCTCATAGCAGATCTTACAATGTTTTAATATAAATTAATAATAGGATTATCGGTTTAATTGATCAAAAATGGTGAAAATGCTAATCAAATTGTTTCACGTAATTCTTTTCGTACTACTAATTGGATTTATTATTTTGTTGAATTGTAATTGGACTCCAAGGTATAAGCATAAATTATCAATGCACATAAGCAATCTCAAAATTGAAATTTCGAAATTTATTATAAAGGATCCTTTGTTGAGTTTTAAATTAATCTCAGCTGAATGACATGCTCTTTCCTTAATTGGAAAAAAAATATTCATTCTTTCAATTTGGAAAAACAAAAAATCCTCATGGAAAACAATGGAATAACCGGATTTAAAAGGAACCTTTTTTTTTAAATTTCAAGTTTATCACCAGGTTCTTGCAAGTTTCATAAATTCTCCCCCAATTTTATATATAACACCCTACGACTATTTATTTATTGTTTGACTGATGTTTTCGAACTGCAGATGGAAAGATCTTTCAAATAAAAAAAATTGAAAATCACGGTTCACAACAGCGGGGTACATTTGTGATCCTTTATTATTTGCATATATATATCATTGCTTATTTTGTTTTTTTTTAAAAAAAATTTGGAATATTTATTTTTTCTCGAAACAAAGTAACAATAAGATTCTTTATTAGTTCTCTAACTTCGATGTTTAATACTTTCTCCGATTTAACTTTCTAACAATTATAACTGTTTAATTAACATTGTTACGCAATTAATGAACATCAATTTATAAATAATTAATTATTTTTAATAAAATTCAAACTATTCCAAGTTTATATAACAGTTACTATTTTTAATACCTTATTTTAAGTGCGGTAGTTTCGCATAAAGTTGCATCAAAATTATTAGATCGGGATTTCTATTGGACGATAATAAATAGATAAAATTTTTCTGATTCCTGTTCTATTTTTAGCTCTAACTTTTGTTCTTTTTGAGGAAAATCATGTCTTTATTCACACGTAGTTTGAAGAATTTTCACACACACAACCTTTTCATTTTAAAGTCGCAACACCTTACTGTAAAAATGAGTCGTAAATTTGTGACCGAAATTCAAGCACCAAAGGTTCGCGTTTTGATAAAAATTCAATAGAGAAAAATGATATATGATTTTTAGATTTCTTTAAATGTAATTTTTGCTTTTCTAAATAAAATCAAAAGAAATAAAATTTCTTTAATGTGTGTATATATGTATAATTTATCTAGCTTAAAGACTCTTCTTTGTTACGTCAAAGTGCTTTTATAAATAATGAATGGGTAAAAGCAAAGTCAGGACAAACTTTCTCAGTAATAGGTAGGATAATGAAAAACAAATTTTTTTTGTTAAATTCTGTTAATATGATCACTTGTTAAGATCAATTTAATCGTTATTGGTTAAGATCCCGCAACTGATAATGAAATTGGAAAAGTTCCCGAGATGAATGTCGAAGATACTAAAGAAGCTATTATGGTGGCAAGAGTTGCTTTTAAAGAATGGGCGAATTTAACCGCAAAGGTATTTCTTTTTTACCACCCAATATTTATTATATTAAATAAAGTAGTAGATTACATGTGATGTCAAAAAAAATTTTTTTTTATTTAGAATCGACATGATTATCTTTTAAAATTACATTCTCAAATCTTGGAAAATCAAAACGATCTTGCGACTATCCTTACTCTTGAAAATGGTAAAACATACGTTGAAGCTTTAGGTGAAGTCAAATATGGAGCAAGTTTTGTTGAATGGTTTGCACAAGAAGCTAGACGTGTTTATGGTGATATTATACCACCAGGTTTAAAAAATCATAAATTTGTGGTAGAAAAGCAACCAATTGGAGTTGTTGGAATAATTACTCCTTGGAATTTTCCAAATGCCATGATTACGCGTAAAGTAAGCGCCGCGTTAGCGGCTGGGTGTACTGTTGTGATAAAACCTGGAGCAGAAACACCATATTCGGCTTTAGCTTTAGCTGAATTGGCTTTAAGAGCGGGATTTCCGAAAGGGGTGATTAATGTCGTGACAACTGATAAATACGTTAAAGAGATCGGGTTAGAAATTTGTACCAATCCGGTTGTGAAAAAAATATCCTTTACTGGCTCGGTAATAACTTTTTTTTTCGAATTGAAATTTTAATTTTCAGTTATTTTGATTAATCACTTTTATTTTTCAATAGACAGCGGTTGGTAAACTTTTGATGGAACAATGTTCTAGTACATTAAAGAAAGTTTCTTTGGAGTTAGGAGGGAACGCTCCATTTATCGTATTTGATGATGCTGATATAGATACAGCTGTTGAAGGTTTGGTTTTTCTAGTTTACAAAATGGTTTTTCTCTATTCAAGCTTTTTTTTTGACGCGTAAACATAATTTTATTTATTTTTCAGATGCAATTACTTGCAAATTCCGTGCATCTGGTCAAACATGCATAAGCCCAAATCGTATTTACGTACAATCTTCAATTTATGCTGAATTTGCATCTAGATTAGCAGATAAAGTTGGTGGATTCAAAATAGGAAATGGATTTGATACAAAAACAACTCATGGTCCTTTAATCAATCAAAATGCGGTAAAGAAGGTAACAAAACATGTTGAAGATGCTGTGGCAAAAGGTGCTGAAATACTCGTAGGAGGTACGAAACATACAGGAAACTTCTTTTATCCTACGGTTCTTACCGGCATGAATAAAGGAATGGTCATAACCTCTGAGGAAACTTTTGGTCCAGTGGCTGCATTATATAAATTTGAAACAGAAGCGGAAGTTCTTAATCTGGCCAATGATTGCAATTCCGGTTTGGCGGGATATTTTTATAGCAAAGATATTGGAAGATGTTGGCGTGTAGCCGATGCTCTAGAAGTTGGTATGGTTGGTGTAAATACCGCAATAATCGGTAGTTGCGAAATTCCATTTGGTGGTGTAAGTAAAAAAAAAAAAAATAACACATGATTATTTTTTAAATTAATTAAAAATTTTTTCGCTAATTTCTTATCATTCAATTCTTGATAATATAATACAGATTAAAGAATCAGGAATAGGCCGTGAAGGTTAGAAATTTTCACGTAAATCGTCTGTCATATTCATAAGTTCAACTAAAATATTAAAATATTAATTTTACATTTTCATAATAGGTTCCAAATATGGTATCGATGAATTCATCAGTATTAAATATATTAATTTTGGTGGATTACAAAAAAACTCGAATGGTTTTAAACTTTAGATTTCTTTCGCAGTCATTGTACTTCATTAAAATGATTTATAATTGTTTTGAGACCTTTAATCCAATACCTTCACATTCAATCAAATATGAATTACCATATTCTGATTGATCATCTTGTATATTTAATGATTCCAAAGGATCAAGTTTTTTAATATAAAATTTCACACCCGACATAACTTCAACAAAATGAATAGCTGCACGAGTATGCGAAGATATAGGACCTGAAACCAATTTTGATTTACCTTCAGCTAATGCCATGAAAATTATTAGTTGATCTTGTAGATATCTAATTATAATAAAATAAATATTAAGTATTTTACCTTTTATGACACATGCAATCAACTTTGATGACTAACTTACTCATCGACGCATCCTCCGTGTTTGATATTTCGTATCAGTTCCTCTGCTGCGCGTCGCCCCCCTTCTTCAGGTGATTTTTCTAAAAAATATTAAAGATTATGAAAATTTCCTTTTGATATTTTAAAATTGATCATCTTTATTTATACTTTTATCGCTTATAGCGTGTCCACTAATTAAACATCCAGAACTTGTTTCTGCCCATAATCTAAAATAAAGAACAAAACGCGTTAATAAATTATCCAACATGTAAAATACATATATCCCAATCTTTTTATCTTACAAAATATCAGAACCTTTGCAAGTATTATATCTTTCAGTATTAATTTCTATATCGAATTGAATGTTTTTGAGTTCAAATAAGGCTGCTTCTGTTAATACTTTAGACGCGCTCTCAACTATCTGTTTTCCAAACTAATAATAATCACTTAAATCAGTAGTCATATTGAACAAAGAATAATACATAATAAAATAAAAAATTAAAAATACTTGTTTAGACATATTCGAAATATTGACGCGTCTTATAAATTAATAACATGAAGTTAGAAAAAATAAAAAAACAACATGAAAGGTATATAATTAATTACCCTCTGATTTTAACGATATTTCCACGGTCCACTAAATTTGATGGTTTTAAAGATTTTTCAACAATTGGATCAACTCGTAACACAACCTCTCCACCACCTTTAGGATAATATCTGTAAATATAAATTTTTTGTTTAATTTTATTTGATTGAATCAATAATGTGAATATACTAATCAATCATACCCCCTTCTAATTAAGCTAACATCAAAATTCAATCCAAATTCGCGTTCTACTATAGGTTTGAATACCTTTAGGATTGAATATCCAATTAATATTTAGTAATTTAAGTTCATATGACTTGTGAGCATTAAACCAAAAAATTACTTCTATTAAAAAATCAATTGGTGGAGCAGCATTAACAGCTGTTCCGCCTTTCAGAATAACTTTTTTAGATCTAGGAGGAAGAAATAATTTTGACTTTGGCGGTGGAGCTGAAAATAACAAGGGTGGTAGAGAAATCTGAATCAATAATGTAATGCTCCTAAATATTACACGTTTGAATATTATAAATAAAAATTATTTTAAAAAGTTAAATAAAAATAAAGATCATTCAATATCTACATAATTACCCCGCTGTTTGAGTATCAGCAATGAAAGTATTAATACTATTCGTTTCATTTGGTTTAAAATATATTTCTTTGGATCCTATCTAATATATGAAAAAGATGATTGATTATCATCATCATTCATGAAAACGAAAGGATCACGTTGAGATTTTGATACTTGCATTTCCTCCCTGTAAATCTGCTTGAAAAATATTTTGGATAAGCTTAAGTCCAGAAACATGTTGGGGTTTTAAACCTAAATATTGATCATATATGGTTAATTACACGCTTTAAAATGGTCAATGTTTAAAATACTAACCAGGATTTTCGCGTTTAGCTCTAACATTTAATAATTTTATAGGTTTATGTAACAGACAACTTTTAAAAAAAAAAAAAATAAAATAAATAAAATAAAAAATTTAACAGTATACTTTTTAATAGGTGACGGAGAACTTTACCTTAAACCAATACAATTTCGAATAACTAAAGATATTTTCAATAAGTATTCAAATATAGACTACTAAATTCAAAATGTTCTTTACAACTGAATTACCTTGACCACCACCTTCAAACAGACTTGCGTCAAGTGTTAAAGTTTCGGTTTGAAAAGCTGTTGACATTTTGTCATTTCAGCTATTCGTTTACAAAAAAAACTTCTTGATTCCCGGACCAGTATCAATGATTTTTTTGGCCGGCATTATGGAAATTAACCATGAGGAAATACGTGTGGAATTTTATTAGTTCGGATATTGTTACACGAAGTTTCAAGTTTTGATGATTGGTGGTTGAACTTTTTTCTCAAAATTCTTTCATAAATTTCGCTATTGAAGACAAAAATATTTTGAAAAAAAACCTAAACGTTGGTCTTGATAGATGGGCGCTAAATAACGTCCAGTATTGTCAACAAAATAGGGTATTTTATAGAAAACTCAACAAAATTTTGCAAGAATCAACATCAAGATGTCAGGTAATTTGCATAGCAACTTCTCAGCTCTAAGAAAGTAAGTTTTTTATTAGTTAGAGTCTACTGATTCCGAAAAAAGAATTAATTATGTATCTTTCCCAATTTTACATCTTGGATTACTAGGCGAAGGAAATTTTTCTGGCTATTATATAGCTTGCCTTGGATGAAGAAGATTTCTTCTGGCTGTGTCTTTGATTTTTTTGGTTTATCCTGAGTATATATAAAGTCGAAATGAAAACCCAAAAGTCAAAATGTTTTGACTTTGAAGGTCAAAGTCGAAATGAAAAGTCGAAATAGTTGAAATGATGTCATATCACATGATTTTTTATATATAGAAAAACAAAGATATACGATCTTAGTCAATATCGCTATGATTTGTATGAAACAACTACCATTCAATTTCTCACTCTCTTTATCGTTGGATTTTTTCCAAGAATTTTTACTTAAAAAAAGTGTACTTTCAACAGTGGCTGTAGCTTAGCCTGCAAACAAACAAAAAACCTCACCTTTCAAAAATATTTCTCTTTTTGTTCTCCACATCCTTATTCACATAAAATTTTTCGAAATAGTCTAAACAGTGTTGTTTTTTGTTAAAATAATTTTTTCTTCACCTCTTTTCAAAAAAAATTTTTTCGTTTTTCTCTTATTTTTTTTTTGCCTATTAAAAAGTGGGCATTAAGGTGAGAAATATCTCAACTGACAATCATGATCAACATACTTTAGATAAACAAATTTCATGTGATGACACCTTTCTCCTTCCTAAACAATATACTCTCTTTTAATTGGCCTCTGCCTTTCTAAAGATCCTCTATCATTAAAGATCATGTGCAAATTTAGCGTGTATCGTCTTCAGACGTCTTCTATATAATGTGATGGTAGCTACCACTTGGTTTTATATTTTGTTGGCCTACTGTAGTTTTAAATGAAGCTTCAGATGATCATTGCTATTTGCTTACTCAGTGTAAGTTCGCTTTGTCTAGATCTATTCCTTCCTAGTAACCAGGTAGAGGGTATAAGTTACTATCTGTTAATACATCGTAGGGTTTTCATAGTGGATTCCACATGATATTTTTTTTATACTTATGAATCTGTAAATATGAAAAGCCTCTGTTTAGACCTTTCTTTGGACACATATTCTTTGGTCAGGTGGTCGTTATATTCAGAATTAACTAGATATTTAGATTTTTATAGAGTCATATTAGTCTTTTTTAATAATTTCTATTTGTACCTATTTCTCTTCTTAGGAGGGTTGTTAGTTTTTAAATTTTATTTAGAAGTTGGGATCAAAGAGCATTTAGAAATTATGTTACTATATTGACAACTTCATTTGAATTTCTTGTTAACGGCTCATTCATTAAATATGAATTTTTTGGTTAGGTTAGAGAGAGTTCTGGTGATCAGTCGATCTAAACAGGTTTGAGCTTTTATTAGCAATAGGATTACGTGAAATAGTCATGAGTTTAGCTTTTTATCTACTTTGTAATTTTTCTTTGTAAATTTTATCTAATATACAATATAAAATTAATAAACTTATTGGCAGTACTGCATCGTTAAAAGTCAAAAAAACCCATTTGATTCCTTGTGATTAAACGAATCCAATGAGCTAATATTCATTGATTTGTGATCAGCTTTTTTTTTAAAGATGTAGTAATACATTTATTTATTATAAAATATTCATAATCAGTTAAAAAAAAAGGAAAATCCCAGAAGAGAATACAAAAGTAGAAAAAATAAAAAATGCTGCCTAATAATCATCATTAGTAAACTAATTCTAATCAAACCAACTGTTGATTTTGGATCAGCCAATTTGGAGATATTTGCAATTGAATTTTGAAATCTAAACCCTTTTATTTTAAAGTAGAATTTAATAATTTATAATTTCGACCATCTCAAGATTGTATAATCCAAATCAATATATGTTAGCTCAGATTTATCTAGTCACAAGAAATTGAATGATAGTTGTTTCATACGAATCAGAGCGATATTGACTGAGATCAAACATCTTATATTTTTTTTTGTTTTTTCTATATATAAAAATCATGTAATATGACATCACTTGACTATTTTAACTTTTGACTCTAAAGTCGAAATTATTTGAATATTTTGATCATTTCGGATATCTGAAATGATCTATTTTGACTTCATGTATAATTCTGAATAAAGGAATTTTTTCCTGACTATTACTGACTTGTTTTGAATAAAGGAGATATCTTCCAGTCATGTCTTAGATTGATTCTTTTTGGTTAAATTCTTACTGACTTACACTTACTAATTACAATTTATGTTATGTATACTAACATTTTTTTTTAAAAAAATGTAAACTCTCTTTAGAAACTATCTGTTATATTAAAAGAAATATATAATCTAAAGTAATAATATTGAAAAAAGAATAACTGGTTATAAAAGAAAAGCTATTAGAAATGACATAAGTTCAACTTTTAGAATTTAAAACATTCAAATTGAATATGAATTAAAAAAAAAAGGAATTTTTAAAGAATAATAATATAGAAGGTTTACTAGAAAAATGGGGTTTTGAGAATTTTTTGACTAAAATTTTATTATTATTACATTTTAATCTAATATCATCAAAAATTAAAATACAATAAAATTTAAAATTTTATTAAAAAATTCTCAGAATTAGCAAACCTTTTATATGCTAATATCTTATTAAAAGATAAAAACTTTTTTCTTATTATTTTTACTCATTAATATAGAAAGATTAATATAATTAAATCCATATGTAATGATATTATATATATTGATAATTGCATGTACTGATAAATTTTTTATATTTCATTTTATTATTAATTAAAAAATCTTTATCCTACCTATATATATTATGTATATTAATAGCACAGCTCAAATGTGTGTCAGGTTATACTGATTATATGACTTAAAGTATGTGACGCATTTTTCAAAAAAAGCGTCTAAGTCAAATTTTACTATAAAAATCTAACCCGTCGCCTTAAGTAAACTTGCAGTACGAGCAAAAATATACCTACATATATAATATTTAAGTATAAATATAATGTTTATTAAAGTTTGGTTTTGAAAAGAAAAAAAATCATAGAAAATTGTCTGTGATGCAAGTATGTTGATCATTTCCAAAAAGTATTTTTTTGGCATAACCTGATACACATTTGAGATATGCATATTAATATTACAATGCAATGTTATACATAGACATTATTCTGGTAATTTTTGGTGAACACAGAATGTTTGAAAGTTCATATTAGGAACTGTGTTCACAGGACAATTGGAATATAGACTGATATTAGGTATCTTTTAGTCAGAATTAATAAAAGATATAGTTAGCATTAATGCAGATAAAAAGTTCTGAATATAAAAAAAATCTCAGGCATGAATACAGATAGTCCAATCCAATCTGGTCTGTATTTATATCTCATAACAATATTGACATATGATTTTACAATATAATATACAGTATACTAATATTTTTTTTTGTCACTTTATAATTAATATATAGTAGGATGTACTAATATTTTAGGTTACATTACCATAAATCTTTACTTAATATGTTGTAATGCATTTTTATTTATATTAAAAATCATGTTTTAACTACAAGTAAAAAGAAATTCAACATCAAATTTTATTTAAATAAAGAAAAGTGTTGTTTTAATATATAGGGCCTTTGCAATAGAAAGGGGGAAACTGCCGGAAAATTAAAAAATAAGTTAATGCTAAATTTGAACATATTTCAGCCTAAAAATCATATTTGACATATAAAGTAAAATTGATTTTTTCCGGCAGTTTCCCCCCTTTCTATTGCAAAGACCCCATATGTAAAAAAGACAACTCTATTTAGATTATCAAAAAACAATATAATTTACTCAAAAAGAGCTTACTACCTTATATAAAATTAAACAAAATACAGTTTCAAATATTTTTTTAAAAAAAAGTAACTGAATGAATCTAGAATCAGAAGATTCAAATAAATAGAAATAAAATCTATTCATTTTCTTCGATGCTATTATTATGGATAACTAATAAACTTATTGCAGACCTTATTGATCTGTTCAAAAATGATTATCACAAATTTCAACCAATAAAATCGCACGAAAGTTAAATGTCCATTATTCTATTCGTGTTACTCTTTGAACTGTACAACTGTTACCACATTTGCAAATAACCATGTCCGCAAGTTCTACGAGTGCTCCTATGGCTCCTATAGCTAGTCTCCCGACGGTTGAAGAAATTAATGGATGGAATCGAGATAGGGCTAAGGGATTTTTGCAAGAGAGGAGAGCTGATTTAGACCTTGAGGGTAAAGATATCGATAAAATGTATAATCAGAAGGTTTTAAAGGGTTGCACTTTCCTTGAATTAACACGAGAAGACCTTTTAAGTATCAAAATACCTCTTGGAACAGCTAAAGAAATCTTAAAACTGATTAGTAAGATTAAAGGAGGTAAGCGAGCTTCGTTTTTTCCCGCGCTTTCATATACTGTCATATTCGCCAATAATACAAGTACCTATCGGAGATGGTAATGACATTGACTGATTTTCTCATTTGTTTCTTAACTTTAACTTTTCCACCAGACAAAAAGAAAAAGAAGGATACAAAAATTTAGTTCTCATAGAAGTCCATTTAACACTGTAGAAGTATCTGAGCTGACTATTTTTTTGTATAGGTCGCACTTTTGCGTCTTCCAATATGATACACCATGATATCAACTTTTACATTGAACCTAAAATAATGATCAAAAAGTTGGTAAAGTTTCTTCTTGACGGCA